CCCTGTGAGTCACTTTTTGACTGTTTAGGTTGAGAGATGATTAGCTGAGTTAGGGTAGTCCTCTCTCTTTTGTGTTTTCTGTCTGAAAAAGTTAATCTAAAGATGTGACAAAGGCCATAAACTAGTGATAGAAGCCAACCGATTCAGAGCCAGAATCGAGAGACAAGCTGCCGTTTGTCACTCTGCATATCTAGACCAAAGGGTGTATGTGTCACATGAGAGGAAATGGCCACACTCCACAATAACTGCTAGTCTAGTGCTGGTATGTGCAGATAATGTTGTTATTGGGGGGGAGAGGGAGGAGAGGGGTGAGTGCAAAACGCTCTTGAACTCACCACAAATGTGTTTTTATTGTGGAGATAAGCTTTGTTTGTGTGCCCTGCGATGGGGAGATCCAAGCGCGATTCTGCAAAGTTCAAGAGCAGAAAGGAACTAACTCCAACATAAACACATATTATACACAGCTCCAACACTATGTCTAATAAGTGACAGTCCATGACCAGTAGCTGGACCTGCAGCTGGACCTGCAGCTGGACAAGACCTGGATAGAGACATCAGCCAATCAGCCCAAAGAGTCAAATTATGGCTCTTTCTTACACAGATGATAACTTATTTTCTTCACAACTTTTTATTTTAACTCTTTCTGTTGGGACAAATTACATGGACTATTTAATAATCAAAAAAGCTAGGTACCCCAGCTTTAAAACTGTTTGGCTGGAATTCTTGCCCATTCCTCCTGGCAGAACTACCATCATTCTGTTGGAAGAACTACATGTTATTTATGAAGAAATGTGTCAAGTACCCCAACTGTAAATACTTTTCTGTCTAGGAGGTCTACCTAAATGCATTGCTATTCCGTCTCCTGTCCTGGTAAAATCTGCGGAGACGGCGATAGCATCCTCTGCTCCTTAGCGTTAGCATTAGCCCCCAGTGCCCCCTGCTTTTCACTGCGAGCTCGTTAGCATGTGTCAGTCAAAGCAATCCGCCGGAGTCTGCAGCCAACGCCTTTATCTCCGGGAAACACGCTCCGGGAAGAGACCGGGGTTAAAGCCAGCTCCAGATAAACGTTCAGGGCTAATTATGAAGTTAGGTTTGAATTGTTGAGGTGTCAGAAGTAGGTTGAAGTGTGTAATGTGTAAAAGGGTTCTCAGGCTCTCATTCGAAGTTTTCAAAAAATGCAAATATTAAAGCTGGATATGTGACTTTCAAAACTTGAACAATGGAATTATGTAATACAATTATTTCTGAAGTTTCTGGCTCTAAAACAGTTGAATTCTATCATAAATGTATTTCTGGCCTCTGTCACATCTTTCAGACAGTAAAGTGTAAAAGAGAGGACCAAGGAATAAAAGCCAATGATTCTCCTCCCTCTAGTGGCAGAATTGCGAGGCGGAAAGCCTTTTTTACCCTTCATACTTGTTTCACCATATACTTTCTACTTGATACTATTTCACATTCTAAACATGAAGGTACAAAGTAAATAGTCTCATTATGATTTAAGTTGGCTAAAATAATGCATAATATATATTCTTTAAGCAGTTAAAACTGACCCTTGTGAGTACTATAAAAATAACTATTGTTGGGATCAGCCTGAATACACATGTACTTAAGTAGACAAAACCTAGTGTTTAACTTTCTCCCCTTAAGTCCAGGAAAATATTATTTTCTCTGCCGTTTTCTCATGGCTGATAATGGTGGTCTGCAGGTGAAGGGCAGGTTAGCAGTTGCTCTCGTCCACAGCCTCATCTCCATATTCTGTTAGCACGTCCATTAGCAGCAGAGAGACTCCCACAGACTGCCCTGGACCTGGACACCACACTGCAAAATGACACACAAATGATCACAACTTATGCCTGCAGGTTGTGTGCTATTAATGTAGAATTGTAAAGCCAGAGTTAACTGCAAAAACGATTGCTCGCGTTTGGCAACGTTTATCCAAAGGTATCCACGAGTCTCTGTGGTTACTAAATCACACTGGGGAAAGGTTTCTCAAATGTCTCAGGTAACTGAAAGCTGAGATAAATCTTAAAAATAAATAAGGAATTGAATGGTAGAATCAATATTGACCATTTGAAAATCTTGTTTCAAAAGAGACCTCAAACTGATCCTCGGGCTGCACTTTAACATCCATTTCTTTATCTTCCTTGAGCTCGTGCAGCAACCCTCTTCCTCCCATTACCTCCCTTTTAATTTGAATAATCTCTCTGATTCGATTGTATACAATATTATACCAGGTCCAAATGGCAGCACATTTTGACATTAATTCAGAATGTCTTTTTTACATTCAATTTGATGAGAGGAAATGGCCCAATGGGGGATATTATAGGGAGATCTAGAAAGTGTGGAAAGGAGCAGGGTTTTGCAGTACATCCGGAGGGCAGTGCTTTCTAATGAACTGCATAATTAAATGCAGTCTCCTCTTTCTCTGCTGCTGCTGCTGCTAATGGTGCGAGAGTCAGTGCATTTAAATACAGTGTGTGAAGGACAGCGGGACCAGGGGCTGACACTGGGAGGTTTACATAATGGATACACGTAAACGTATACAGACATGTGTTAAACCTGGGATTATCTCAATGATACAGACAAGCCTTTAAGATGGGGTACCTAACTTTCAAACCACAAAAAATTGAACTAATAAAATCCAGGCCTAAACTAAAGATCTGTGGTTTAGCGCGCTCTGTGATCCTGGAGTGTATATTGTTTTTGTAAATCCAGAAATGAGCCATGTAACAATCGACCAATCCAGAATCTCCAGCTTGCTGTCTTAGCTAATGTTGCAGAACAAATGTCCATATAGGGAAATTTGCTCCAGCTAGTTTATGTTCATATCATCCTCTTCTGCATTGAAGGAGCAGTATGTAAAATCTGGCCAAAAGTGGTACTGCAACCTCTCCCACTTTCCCTGACTTAAGCCTGGTGTATACTCGCACGGAGCTGGTTACATTTGCGGTTGCGCAGGACCTACGCAGCCACATTTGCTGGTACACTCGCACGTTCCCCCTGCATAGTTTTTAAGTTAATGTTGTAATCCCACACCCAACCACGCGATGGCGATCTCACAGGAGTTGCCTGGGAAACCAAAGCGGTCCCATTTACGCTAGCTACTTTCTCGACTTCAGAGCAAAAACATTAGCAAATCAAGCTGTTCGAGCTCATTACATGTGTTTCTAGACGAAGGTTTATGTGATAGTTCTATTGACTCATTTAACTGTGATGCTGTGAATAAAGACACTTCTTATTGGAAACATAGTTTTTATTGAAGTGTATTCAGCACAAACTTCAAAACAACAAGTGGTAAATATCTGAGACCAAACATGACTATTTACAAGTGCAGAAGAAATGCAACAGATGAGCTACAAATATAGATTCAAACGAAGACAGGCGCAGGAACAGTGCAAAACAAACGACTGTACAGTTTATAAAGTTCGATATATGTTTCATATGCAACAGAACTGAACAGCTGAACCCAAACTGCTTTTCCTTCGGTCCCTTCGAAGCACGAAGCAATCTGCTTCGAAGTGCCTCGTCCATGTTCCCCTCAGCCGCTCCATGCTTCCATCCAATACACGCACACACACACACACACACACACAAAGGACCAATCACAGCGGAGCTTTTTGAGGAAGCAGGGGTGGCTACGCAAGGGTCTTACGGTGATCCTTGCGTTGGTCCAACGACGTCACGTCACCACTGTTAGCTCCGCGCCGCGGGAGTACACTACGCTTTAGGTTCCCAGATATGCAGACAAATCTAGCTGGGACCATAATATCTGAATAGTCAAGAGTTTTGTCAAGAACAAATCTTTAACCAACACCATTATCACAAACTGCACGTTGGAAATCCTTGTTTATTAATTCCTTCATGATTTTTTAGTACTGCGGCCACATGTTACTTTACCCGTGAGATTAGCTCAACGCGGTGAGTTCTGGCGCCTGGATCAATTTTTGATTAGTATAACAGTGGAGGACGGGACATTGAAATGAAAACAATAACAAGATTTAGGGGCTGTAAAACTAATTTTGAAATTCTAATTTCTCGGCTGAACCTTCAACCCTACGTTCTAGGCTAGGCTAAAACAGTCCTCCTCAGTTTAACATATGGTTAGGTAGGTAAGACTCAGGGAAGGCTAAAAATCTTAGATTATCAGTCAAGCTGCGAAGGGATTCAGTTTGCTTGGAGAAGTTTGGTAACTGAGCACTATCCTCTCCTCCTTCCTACTTTACAGTATCTGTCTGCATTATTAGGGTTTTGACTGTAGTCTGTTCATTGCTATTCACCCGTTGTCCCATTGTCTGTTTCATGGTACAACGACGGGACCTCTGAACCTTGCCTCCTCCATCTACACCTGCGGACTGCCCTGCCCGACCCGCCTGGGAGTTCTTCAGTCCTGCACCGGACCTGCTCACGTTCTGCGGCTGCTGCGTGGCACTGATCCACGTTCTGTAGCTTAGAACATGTATGGACATTTATCAACATGTGTTCTATATTCTTTTTTGTGTCTTAACTGTTGATTGTCTGATCTGTGTTGGTGATTTCAATGGTTTTGTTAAGTCCTCTGAGATGACTACTGTTGTGATTTTAGGGCTAGAATACATTGTATTGTGTAATTGAATTGAACTACTGTTATCACCACTATTATAAGCTCTATGGTTAAGCTGGGCTACTTCACTTTCAAACCACAAAAAAATGCCGTAAAGCTAGTTACCTGCTCTCAAAACAGGTTTGTCACATTTCTGTCTGAGAAAGTGATAAAACCAAAGTCCACCAGCTTTAAAGAAATTCCTATATGCATGTTCCTTGTCCTGTTTCTGGGGCTTTTTTCATGTTTGTACAAATCTGCTAATGACTTTTTGAGCTATGTTGTAGAGAGAGACTGACCAACCCAGGTGAAAGCATTCCCCTTAAAACCTATCTAGATTCAACTGCTGAACAAAAGAATTCGAAACCATAATATAGACAGTACTTTTTACTAACAGCAGCAGTGTCTATTACATCTCTGAATGTCACACGTCGCCCACCGAGCCTCCATCTTTCTCCTCCATCACCACGGCAACGCCAGCGATGCAGTTGGCACGGTAACCCCCCCATCATCCCCACCACCCGCCCTCACCCCATCACACACCCCCACCTCGGGAAAAAAAATAGCTGATGACACTGCCGCAGCCGACAATGAAACGGCTCCAGCGGCTTCACCCAGGGTCTGTCATCATAATGTGGATAATGTGTTTAAAATCCAGCTTCAAAAGATAGATCTCGCCTGTGGGGCCGAGATCACGGGTAAATCCTAGGTTTGGGATGAGTGTGGAGAGGAAGCACATACTGGAGTCATGCAGGAGCTGGAGGAGTATATAGGGTTTGTGTACGATGTTTTATGAGACATTATTGGAGCCAGGTTTGGCTATATTATTTTAGGTATGAGGCGTTGGAAACTGTAATATTGATAGATTATAATGCAGCTGTGTCTCTGTGTCACCAGGTTTTAGAGCAGGGGTTTCCAAACTCAGGCCCGCGGGCCCTCTGTGTCATGTTATGTGGCCGCTAACACAAAGTAGCCATTGACTTCCACTATCATCCAGCCAACTTCAGCTCTACCAGTATACTTTATGTTATACCTTGTTGTTAAGCCTGGAACTGTTGATATTGATACATTTGTTTCTGTCCCAACAGTCTAGTAATAGTAAACAAATCAGACCACCACAAAAACGTTCCATATTTTGCATACTTGTGAGGATATGCCCTGTGAGTCACTATTTGACGCTTTGGGGCTGAGAGCGGATTGGCTGAATGAGGGTGGTCCTGTCTTTTTGACTTTTCTGTCAGAAAAAGCTGATCTCCAGATGTGACAGAGACCAAAACTACTAAGACCATTCTGTTGTGGTTTGAAAGTTAGGTACCCCAGCTTTAATCCGTTTGGAAAGGTTAGAAAATAGTTGAACCACGCACCACTTATTTCAAAACACTTACAATTCAATATCAAGTGTCTTTCTGAGCCGGATCTGCTTCTATCTCACAGAAAGCAAGCGGAGGTTTGGTGCAGTGACTGTTGCGTCGGAAATGAAATCATTTTCAATAAGAGGCGACCCGACAGTGTGCGATGTAATTTCACAGCTCATGAGCAAAGTGAAACAAACAGCGGAGGTTCAGATGCCAAAGACAAAAAGATCCACGTCTCAAACAAATTGTGTGGTTCCTCTCTGATGCAGGAGACTCTAGCCACAGTGGTGATCAGTGAGTTCAGAAAACCAGTTTTTGTTGAGTGACCCGAGATCTTGGAGCTTCTGCTCCCAAAATGTGGAATAGTTTACATTAGAACAGCTCTTTCATTGGAGGTTTTTAAATCGTACACGTATTTGTGTGTATTTCATGCTGTTTTCTTGTCTTTTTTTTTTCTTTTGTGCTTGCTGCTCTTTGGGCAGCAGGTGTTGCTAATGTGCCATACAAATAAATCTGACGTCTGCTCTGTCTGTGACAACACAGCCTTGATCTTTCAGTGGATGCTTCAGGCAAAGTGGGGTTAAGTGTCTTGTCCAAAGACACAACAACAGCAGATCTCAGTGGGAGTTGGTGGAGAAGGTCTTGTGGTGGGCTCGAACCCACAACCTTCAGGCTCTAAGGCCAATGCTCTACCAACTGAGCCACTGTCACCTCCAATACCAAAATTTGAAATGTCCAATATTTAAGTAGACATTATGCAAAATAGATCCTCTCTCCTCTCTCTTTAGCTCTCTCTTCTCCCTTCTGCTCTCTCTCTAAAACTGATTTTTGAACTGACAATGTCCAATAGTTTTACCCCGGCTGATCTGTCATTTCTGTAGAGCAGCACAAACTTCTCTCCTCTATCCCCTTTCTTTGAAGCATTACACATACTTCAGGCTATAAAAATAACTGTCTTTATTGGACAACAATCTTCCACAAATTCACAGAAAAACATAGGAGTAAATGAAATACCAGAAACTGAAGTTTGACGCTGCCCATAGTATAATTCATGTGACTAATGGTATGAGGGAGTTCTCCATCCCTGCCCCGATTGATTTATTGTACTGGATTTGCCCAGCCCTCTCTCTTTTCTCCCAACAGAAACATCAAAACACAAAGTTAAGTGAGAGCTTCTGATGTGGTCAAGAACAGCTGAAGACGGCTCCATAAGAGATCTTTGACCCCAATCCATCAGACTGTCACCAGAGACCCAGACCAAAGTCCAAAAACCAGTTCCTTATCCCAACTTCCATTGCTTTACTATAGAATCAGTCTGTAGATGGATACATTAACAAGATAAGAAGCAGTTTTATTTACGTTTGGAAATCCTCATTCATTTTTCACTTCATAGCAAGAACTATGTTTATCGAACAGAAGAGGCAGAGAGCTACTTGAATGAGGGTGTAATAATTATGACCAAACTTGGAGAACACATGTAAAATATACAAAAATACCTATATTATACTTATACATATATTAAAGCTATGTAATGGCTCAAAATGGATTTATTCAAAATCATGTGTTTAATTGTAAATCTTTGGCGAGCTACCTGAAAGGAGCTGGCAAGCTACTGGTAGTTCCCGAGCTATAGGTTGGGGACCCCTGCTTTTCTATCCACCTGAACTAAGGACTGCTCAAGTGAGAGCGACCAGAGATAACAAACCTGTTGGCACTGCTGCAGCTGTCAAAAGCCGTGCATACGAGAGAGACTAGAGAGAGACCAGAGAGAGATACCAAAGAGAGATACCGGAGAGAATCACCGGAAAGAAACATCAGAGAGAGAGACCCAAGAAACTAGAAAGAGAGACCAGAGATAAACCAGAGAGAGAGTCTTCTATACCAGTGTCTCCCAAAGTGGGGTCCGCGGCCCCCTGGTGGGCCGCGAGGGTACTGCAGGGGGGCCGCGGGAGGTCATAAAAAAAAAATAAAAAAATAATATAATTATTTAATGTTAAATTTATAATGTTTTGTTTGTAATATTAAAATATTTGTGTTCATTATTTGACTTGAATAATCCACTGTAATCATTTTTGTATTACAATGTTTGTAGCAGAGGCTATTTCCCCAAAATAAAATAACCAGAAGAGCCTATTCTTAATGTTGTCTTCTTGGTTATTATTTTGGGGGGCCACGCAGACCCTTCAGATTTTTAAGGGGGCCTCGGTGTTACTGACTTTGGGAATGGCTGTTCTATACTAATCACTGCAGTGCACACAAGCCAAAAAATGTTTTCTTTTGACTTTAAATAAAGTTAACTGCCATGTCATACTAGTGGTTAATTGATGTTGTTGGATGCGAAGAACAATTCCTCACACAAAAACTGCAAAACACAGGCGGCGAAAGGTGAACCGCGTAATATATCCATTGTCAACCCTATATCATCCAAGCTCTGGTGGACTTAAAGAGTTAGCTTGGAGTCCAGACCAAGTCCTCTGGAGCCCAAACCCACAGAGCGTTCATACAGACATTGGATGAAGTCATTGACTCAGACCAAAACCAAATATTCAAGTATAAATCACCACAATCGCAGTCTTTCCCGTCTGTCCATTCTATCCTTCATCTCAAATCCCGCTGTCGTCACTTCTAACATTCTGTCTTTGTTTTGCCCCCGCTCTCAGATCAAGTTTTTCAGTTCACAGTCGGAATGTGGAGCTCGGACACAGCTTTAAACTTCACACCTGTTTGGGCCAACATTCTTCCCGACAAATGGACGATTGAGAGGTGACATAGAACCGGTGGATATTTCAGTTTTTTCAATTGGTTGACAAGACTTTACCATTATCATGTTTGTGGAAGAGGTTAAAAACAATTCCAAGGCTCTTCTTTACCAAACAGTGCAGGAATGAGCTGCTGTTTGTTTTTTGTTAATGCAAAGTTGATATTTATTATTATTATTGACATTTAAGCGGGAAGGTTCCAATTGATTGTCTGGGAGTTTGTCAGAAAAAAAGAGAGAGAAGTAATTGATTTGAAAAAAAAAAAACACACACACACACCGCCCATTATGTAATGTTTCATGTTGTCTTAATATTTGTATCTCTTTGTATGTCCCCATGTTTTGTCGCTGCTTCAACATTCTTTTTGCCGTTGTACCAATCATTTTCACTTTTGTATGTCTATGTGTCACTCTTGTACGTCTATGTATCACTTTTTATGTCTATGTATCACTTAATAATAAAAAACAAAACAAAAAAAATGACGCAAGCTCCATCCCCTTCCTTTCTGATTGGTCTACACCTACGTTTCCATAACAATAAATCAACACATTTAAATGTTAATTGGAAAATACATCATACATGTACATTATTAAAACACATGCACAGAGGTTTTCAGAATTATTTGTTAACGTTTTTATGACAACAATATTTTTTTAATGCACAAAGAAAATATCGCGGCAAACCCGTAAGTAGCTATTATCATTAATTGCACATTATAGGACACATCTGCAGAGGATCTGATTATGGATATAGTTTCAGTATACAAATGGGTAACTCAGGCGGATGTTCAGAATTCTTTGTTCAGTTTTCATGTAGTTTCAGAGCCTAATACAGGCTTGATTCGGAGGCCCCGTGAAAACAAACAACTGAGCATGCGCGCAGCTACGAGCATTAGCGCCGATGATTGACAGCCCTGGGCATCACTTGATTGGTTAAAGTGGACAGCATTGTGGATTTTGAGCTATAGCTAAGAGAAGGGAAGGCGGGACTTTCCCGTAATATTAGAGTAAATAAAATGACTTATTTTATATCAACATTTAAGGCAGGGAGGTTTTTGTTATTCATTTAGAGTTCTAGACTATCACTTTTAAGAGAGTAGAGGAAACCGGAGCACCTGGAGGAAAGCTGCAGATGTTACTCCTTTAATGTGGCTTTTAAAATGTAAGCACGAGTCTTGGATTTAGGAGCTTTTGCAGCCATTCTGCTACTTTGGCTCATAAAGGGTTAATAATAATGAAAGCAAATTGGACACAGACTCTGTTTCTTCCTGTACAGTGATCCAATGATCCATGAGCCAAAGTCTCCGCCTCACTCTGCCCTTGGGTCATCATGTCCTTAGTCTCGGTTTCACCGCTCTCTCTATTAAAGCTGCAAACTTTTAAAAAGCAGAGAAACTTTGCCTGGGCTCCTCAAGCCGCGGGCCCATGCTCTGAACGGAACAATTGCCTCCAGACAAATCCGCCCAGACCTGAATCTCAACACAAAGACGTGGATTTGGATGGAGCTGCAGCAGTATGCCCTGGGTGTCGCTGCAGGAAAGATGGGACAGGTCTAATACAGATCTAACAATACCATAACCATATGCAGAGTAGATG